AAAAGTTGCAGGCGTTGGGGCAGCTACGATTTTCAATTAAACTCTTTCGATACGGTTTTTCACACCTAGGCACAAGTTATTGCTTCTCACGTGAGGCTAACTAATTGAGCTGTGAAGTTGCAATTAGACATTGGGCGTTGCAAAGATTTGTCGCAAAAATATGCTTTTAATTAATTATTAGGGTATTCAGGGTGGGTCGGTGAGTATTTATTTTCAATTGCATACACTTTATTCAAAGTGAGTTGCCAAGCGAATGCGAGTAAAAATACTGCATTAATATTTTTGAGAGAAAAATATGCGGTCACACTCAGCGACTTACAAAATGCAGCGGGTTGAATTTTTAAATAAACATCACAACAAATATTTTTTGCTCAAATGCAAAGCGTTAATATAACAGCTGATTATCAGCAATTCACCCATATGAAGATGAAAATCGTGAATATCCATACAGTGTTAACAAAGCTTATACAAGTTATAATTTACATTTGTCAAGAGTGCAAGAAAAATATTTGCTCACCTCGTCGCATAAAAAATTCAGCAATTGAAATTTACAGTTAATTTTACACAAACACATTACACTAAGCTTCACAAATAACTATGCACTCGCGTGTATGTGTGCATGCGTTTACATACATATGTATGTATTAATGGCAAGAGGCTGCGCACGTTCCGTCTTGCGCTTTGCATTTTAATTTTGACAATTGCACTTATTTAAATAATAATTATATATTTAATTCAATTACACACAACACTCAACACGAATAAAAACAAGAAATAAAATACACACATACACATACTTACTATGTTCGCAATGAACGGTAAAGCACTATTAGCGCACCGCGTTCTTCTATGTATTTCATTTTAGCTAGATTATACACAGCACATTATATTTACATACGCGACGATTAACCACTTACAGATCGGCCCGATATTAACACAAATACTTTGTTTATTATTGTTATTTGTAGCCGGCAAACTTAAAATTGATACGAAGGAAAAATTATGACGCGTAGCTAGCTTACCGCTATTTTGAACTGACTTGAAGTTGGCTGTGCTTGTAGAGAGATGCCAGCTGGTTTTCGCACCAGCGCTACATAGCAAGCAGTTAGAAAAGGCATGCAGCATGCGCAGACAAAACCTGAATGCTGCGAAAAGCGCCATCTATGTGCGCCGGCCAGCTGAACTTAAATTCGTATTAAATAATTGAATATAAAGAATTTAAAATTTTGTTTTATTTAGGGCAGCAATAAAAGTATTTCAATTTTGTTTTTAATACAGTGCGTTGTTGTTTTTATTTGTTTTTATATGTATTTTAAATATAGTTTTAATATATGCAGCTATAATAGTTATTTAAAATTTGAATACTACATTGTTTAATTTTAATTTTCTTTGATTTGTAAACTAAAAAACCTTTAAACTACGTTTTATTTTTTTTATTTTTGTTGTGGTTGCTCCGGTTTTTGCTCTTCCATTTTCTCACCTGTTGCCACTGCTTCTCCCTCTCTCTCGCTCCCTCTCTCTCTCTCTCGCTCTCTCTCTTCTCTTCTCTTGTTTCTGCCATTCTATTGTTTATCTACTCTAATGTGCTAGATACGTATATATATAGTTATTTATAGGGTATTTTGTCGTCTGGACAAAGTTAGTCATTAATTTACAATACATTTAATTATAGAATTAAACAACTTCCCAATCGCCGCTCGCTGCTCGAAAATTGTTGTGTTGATTAAATTTAAGAAAAAACTATATAATACAATAAAAGTCTTGGCGTTAATGAATAATTGGTTTGTTAACAAAATAATTAAATTATTTTGCGCTGGTTTACAGTTTTGTCTCACACACATATACATAAATAAATTAAAGTACTTTCCCATTTTTTTCTTTTCTTTTCTTTTCTTTATCTTCGTCTCTTGCTTTTTTTTTTGTACTCAAAACTGCACGAGAAACGCACTCAAAACGCTAGCGATTTGGCAGAGTTTCTGAACGCCATAAGCCTTTCATAAGAAGCCCATGTCGAGGGCCGTGTAGAGCGCACGTATATCGCTGTGGGCCGAGATGCGCCAGAAGGGGAAGTTCATGGCCTTGGCAGCGGACTCCTCCTCGGCGCCGTCGCCAATCACCACATAGGTGCTTTTGCGTCCGAAACGCGTCACGATGCGCTCATAGCAGGTCTCCTGGCCTAAAACAAAATAAAAACAAATAAAATATGTTAGAGCAGGCGTTCGTTGGGGCAGATTAACTACTGCTCGACTCACCAATCTTGTGGGCACTGTAGATGTTCTCGATGTTGAATATGCTGCCCAGGCCGAAGAGCAGCACCTTGGCCAGCGCCGGCGCCAGCTGCGTGGAGGTGACCAGCACATTGACGCAGTTCTCGCGCTGGGCAATCATGCTGAGACACTTGAGCGCCAAGGTGGCCCAATTATCGGTGGCCACCTCGATCTCCGAGCGTATCTGCAGCCAGGCATCCCGTTTCCCAGGGCCCAACAGGGTGCCCACGCTAAAAAGAGACAGAATGCGAGAATTACAAAAGGTGCCATTAAAATAAAGAGATGCAGGGATCCAACTCCTGCCTCGCCTTTAAGCGGACTTCGTAGAGCTGCCTGAACCTGAGGTTTTCAAAATAGTAATGCGTCTTTATAGTAAAAAGAAAACTTTATAGGTGCAGAAATTAAAGGAAGTAGAGGGAAAAACTGCGTTCGAACTCCTGCCTCGCCTTTAAGAATATTTTGGGAAGCTGCCTTTAAAAAATCCTGAGATGGGGCTTTTCGAACATTCTTTCTTTTTTAGGATCGGTTTATAGTAAAAACCGAATCGGAAGTGAGGCACAATTAGATGAAGCAGTAAGAAAAAAAAATCCCTGAACTCTTTGTAGCTTAATTACATTAAATTGGGGGCACAATCAAAGAGAATGGGGAAACTAAGAGTTCGAACTTCTGCCTTGGCTTAAAAACCTATTCATAACTACAATATGTCTTAACAAAAAATTCATCTCCAGGCTTAATTCATATTAAAAATTAAAGTAGCTGGAGTCGCATTCGATGAGAGAACTAAAAAAAAACCATTCCCTGTGGCTTGAACCTCTGTCATGCCTTGGAGTGCGGCTCGTTAACCTCCCTACACTCTGCTTTTTGAATGACAAATTCTCTTTACATTCAAATAGGAGAGTTTTGTATAATAAAAGTGTAGGTTTGAACCGGCTTCACGGTCCGCTGGAAGGGAAATACTTACTTGCCCCTGTAGGTGTTGTAGATGTCCTTGATCTTGCGATAGCGAAAGGCGAGCTTGCGCATCCAGTCGACGCCGCCGCGCACGCCCGTGGGCAGGCACAGATTGGGCGGGGCGCCGGGCGGTGTGCCCGTGTGAAAGCCATCCGTGGCAAAGTTATAGGTGCTCAGATCCTGGCCATTGTCATCGGAGCTAACGTCGTCGATGTGGACCTGATCGCACTCCTCGATCTCGTTGAAAAAGAAATGTGTGTCGGCCATGTTGAAGACCATCTCCTCCATGCGGAACGCGATGGTCATGAGCGTGCTGTGGTCTTTGGTATAGCGATTGGCATAGCTGCCCGAGAGCAGCGTGTGGAAGATGATCAGCGTTTCGTCCAGGTCCCAGATGAAGACGCGCTCCGGCGGCTTCACAGCCTCGCTGTTGCCCGTATCCGAGGCGGTGCTGCGCGTCGGGCTTGGCTGCTGATGACGGCGTCCACGCGCTCTGCCCGTCTTGCCCGTGGGCGTCGACTTGGTCGCTGGCGCGGAGCTGGCCGTGCCCACGCTGCTGCCGCCACTCGAGTTCAGCGCCGCCGCAGCGGTGGCTGCATTGACCACGCCCACGCCGACGCCGGCATTGGGTGACATTGAGATCGGGAGCGGGGAGTGCGGCGAATGGGTGGCCGCATGCACAGGCGTCGTCGAGTGCGTATCCGTTGGACTCTCGGACAGATTGGACGACGCGGTCGCCACATGAAAGCCATGGCTGGCACTCGAACTGGGCGAGCTAACCGCATACGGCGAATAATTGGCCGGGTTATAATAATTGCCGTACTGCTCATTGTAATATCCGCCATAATCCTGCTGCCCAAAGTTATTATAGCCCGCATACGGATTGCTATAGAGCTGGGCGTTATTGTTGCCGCCGACGCCGACGCCAACGCCGCCGCCCCCACCGCCGCCGCCGCCGCTCGCATAGCTGGGCGTTAGATATGCCGCTGCCGCTGCGGCCGCCGCTGCGCCCGGCTCCATTTTGGCGCTGCGCGCCGCTGCCGCCGCCGAGCTGGCCGCCGCATAGGGCGTCCCGTAGCCGGAATAGAACGGCGGCGGAGTATACTGCTGCATGCTGTTGTAGTAGTAATAGTCGTGCTTGCTGTCGTAGACAGCCGCTGCGGCGGCCGCTGCCGCCGAGCTGTTGACCGCCGCTGCGGCATCCGCGCAGCCGTACAAATTGGCGCCGCTGGCAGCGGCCACAGCGGCAGCGGCTACGGCGGCGCCATTGTCCAGTGCGGCATGCACCTGGCCGGGACTGCGCGATTCCGATTTGACGGCGGCGGCAATGCTGCTGTCGTGCGTCCAGTGCGACATCGCGGCCGGATGACTTAGGCCCACGCCCACACCGATGCCAACGCCCACCTCGTCGCTGCTCGCCTGCTGATATGTGGAGAAGCTGCTGCCCGCCGATTGTGCAAAGCTTGACGCGGCTGCGGCCAGGCTGCAGCTGCTCGGATTCGGGTTGTTGTTGTTGTTATTGTTGTTGCTGCTGCTGTTGTTGTTGCTGCTGCCGCCGCTGCTGTTGTTGTTGCTGGTGGCGTAGTGGCCGCTCAGTGCGCCAATTGTCGGCTGCAGCGGTTGAATTTGCGGCGGCAGTCCGCCCAGTGGGCTGCATTGACCGGCCACGCCCACGCCAATGCCAACGCCCACGCTGGCGCCGGCACTGCTGGGCCCATTGCTGGTGGCCAACACGGCGCTTGAATGTGTTTGCTGCTGTTGCTGTTGCTGCTGTTGCTGTTGTTGCTGCTGTTGCTGCTGCTGTTGCTGCTGCTGTTGCTGTTGCTGTTGTTGTTGCTGTTGTTGTTGCTGTTGTTGGCTTTGGCAGAGACTAAAAGGAAAAGAGAATAAGAAAATTAGTTCAATTCTTGTAGACTATCATTAAAAATCAGTCAAATCTAAGCTAAGCCTAGCTTGCCTGACTGATTGCCTGACTAATCGATTGACCGACTGATTGACCAAAGAATAAGATAATTAATCTAAGCTGGCTGACTGACTAGATGGCTGATTGACTAAAGAATATGATATGTAAAAGCTAAGCTAAGCTTGCCTGACTGGTTAACTGACTGAGTGATTGATTGATCGACTGATTGATTAAAGAAAAGGAAAGATGGTATTATCCTCTAGATTCTATTCTGACTGATTGACTGATTATTTGACCAAAGAATGAGATGACTAATCTAAACTTGATTAACCGATTGGCTGATTGACTGGCTGACTGACTAGATGGATGTCTGATTGGCTGATTGGCTGACTTATTGACTAAAGGATAAGAAAGTTAGTTCAATCCTATAGATTATAATTTTAGATCAGTAATGGCTAAGCTAAGCTTGCCTGGCTGACTAACTGACTGAGTGATTGATTGATTGACTGATTGACTAAAGAATAAAAAAGATGGTTTAATCCTCTAGATTATTGACTGACTGACTGACCAAAGAATAAAAAAGTTAGTTCAAATCTCTAGATTCCAATCTATCCAATCCAAGCTAAGCTTGCCTGACTACAGTCTGACTGACTGAAAATCTGCTAGTGAAAATGAAGTGAAAATCTGCTGCTTTAAATTTTTTATATTATTCGACAATTCGATCAACTCGAATACATTTTCACTTATCTGTAGAAAAATTTAAGCCTTTAATAGTTACTGGATAAGAATACTGCGACATTGGGCGTCCGTTAATGAGAGCTTTCACTGTATTTGTATATATATCGAATACTGCTACTTATGTCCCGAGAATATCCTTAACCCAACCACCGACTAGCCTCGCAGAATATAGAGACAGAGACAGAAACAGAGAGAGAGAGAGAGAGAGAGAAGTCGAAACATAAACGTTTTGCTCGTTAAGTAAACTCATAAAATAATTTCCAATAATCTTTAAACAGCCATAAAATTAACGGCACGTTGTCGTCGTCGTCGTCGTCATCGTTTGCTTGGAACCGTCCAAAAAGTCAAGTGTGTCGCCTTCGCTCTCCAAAAATCTTGTCAAGTGTTATAAATATTTTTCTACGCTCTCTCGCGCTTAAAAAAAAAAAGGAAATCATTTGAAATGCCTTCTCGTAGCCACTTGAGAGGCAAATCATACAAAAAAACAACCCATGCCCATTCCCTTTCCCAATGCCGTTCCATTGGCGGCATGTGCACACACACACACACACACACACACATTGCCCGAGCCCATGTGTGCCACAAATGTTGCCTGTTTGGGCAGCGACAACATTTCGATTGTTATTCTTCAGGGCTGCTGCTGCTTCTTCTTCTTCGACGACTACTTTAACTAGCAACAATTGCCAAACAAATTAAGTAGACTAATTTCGAAAGAGCCCAATAAAAACGAAACTCCAACCCGAATAGGAAAAGGCAAATAAATCAAATCGAACGAAAAATCAAAACAATGAAAAATGTTAAGTCATTTAAATGAAATCTCGAGGAGGCTGCTCAATTTTTGAGTGGAGTCGGAAGAGCTGGAGCTGAAGCTGGTAATCCAATCCTTTTCGTCTGCAATTAAATTAAGTTGTTCGAACAGAGTCTCCTCCACGCCTACGTAGAACTCCTCCCCCGCCCCCCTCTTAGTCCGCCTTCTGTGGTTTCTGTGCGTAATTTATCACATTTTTATTTAGTTTATTCTCTTTAATCTACGTGAAGTTTTAGAGCTTTAGAGCACGTAAATTGTGTGGGAGCCGAACCCAAGGGTTGCCAGCAATCCAGGTGAGACGTTAAAACTCTTAAAATTTATAATATTTATACAAACAAAGCAATTGATATTAAGGTCAACTACACTCATAACTCATAACTCAGTCTTGTAGTGCTTTAAGAACTTTAAGAAGTTCTTAAAAAAAGAACTGGACTCTTATTTTTAGATATGGCTATTTTATGTTTATTTAAGCACACAATTATTATTGTTTTGCGCTGATGTTATTGAATTGAAAAATCACATGGAATTTCTTGAAAAGAATTCATTAAATTATCTTAAAATTTCCTCAGAGCGAAAAAGCTCGATAGAAAAAGCCTAACCAACTGTATTTCAGTCTTCCATTTAAGAATTTACTTTTCTTTTAAAGAAATTTTAAGCATGGCTCAGTTTAAACATCATTTGTTCTAAATTAAACAAATTTTACATCGATCACATATAATTTCTTGAAATAGGTTCTTCAACTCGTCATAAAGTTTTCTCAAAGCAAATATTAATTTAATGTATTTCAGACTTGCATTTAAGAATTTCGCAATTATAAAAGCTTCTTTAAATAAGAATTTCTTTTTCGCATTAAAACCAATTTTACTTTTTCCGCTGATTGTTTGTACTTAATTTAAGTACAAAAATATTACTATTCGGAAGATCTTTTCAGATATGTATGATAAATATGCCACCGCGTAACGAGCAGATATTAAGTTTCAATAGAGTTGTTTGATTTTAAAAATATTTTCTCTATATTCTGTAATTCCCCACAGTCCCCTTTCAAGGCGAGAGTTGCTCAGTGTTGTTTTTCATTTTTTATGCTTTCCAATCAAATTTGTCGTAATTTATCATCATCTTTTCTTGTACAATGCCGTAGACCAGCTAGGTAAATGAAGTGCCCAATTTCCTTGGGAATTTGACACCTATAGAGTTGGGATAATTTTTCATATGCCGGCAGCAGCCCGAAAGGGGAATCAAATGGGAGCCAAACTGACGGGGGGAAAATAACGCGTGCGCTCTGCTGCCAGACAAAATATTTATTCCAAAATATTATGTATTTAAAGATTTCAATAGCAGCAAAAGAAAATGTGGTTAAGAGTTGTCACACACTTTGAACAAAGGGAGCTGCATTTAATAGGCCCTAAACCTGCCTGCTAAGCCGCCCTAAGCCCCTTAAGTAGTTGGGCATGGCCCGCACGCCCTCTCCTCCGCACACCCTCTCCTCTCCCTCCATTTCATCTCCTCAACCAAGTGTTAAGTGCTCTGACACTCTCGTCGTTCTCGTTATATATATTTATATATATATATATGCGTGTGTATTTCTCAACTCAGGCAGGCATGCGAGAAATTCCTTGAATTCTTGCCCAGTTTTTGAACGGGGCATGTGTTGGAACCGAGATCCGAAAAATTGGTAGGGTCACAAATGCAAAATGCTCGCAAGCAATTGAAATTTGTCGCATTTGTGGACACTTGTTGTTGGGCGGCGCAAGTGTGAAGAGAGCTCTTTGGAAATGCAGCGAGAAAATGCAACATAACTGTCACAAATTATCTGGGCCGACAGCTGCAACAAGTGTCCTTAGCATATGGATGACTAGCAGGTATTAACCGGCATTGCACGGCTCTTCAATAATGGCTGATCTAATTCGATTTTAATATATTTTAACAGCATTTAAAACAGCGCCCAAAAGACGCGATTTTTCAATTGGGAGACTTTTTTAAATATTTTATAACTATTATCAATTTTAATGTATTTTAACCACATTTAAAACAGCGCCCAAAAGACGCCATTTTGTATTAGGATAGTTTTCTAAATATTTTCTAACCAATATCAATTAATAACAATTACTATTTATAAGTTTACTCTTTCACATAGCACTTTAAGAAAGAGTTTGAAAGTTTTCGACAAACATTTTCCCAAAAATTTTCTACATTTGCGTTGGCAATTTTCCAATAGCCTTCGCTTTACGTTCATTTATATTAGCAAAAGTAAATAGAAAAAAAATGCAGAGTCATAGCTCTTACGAGTGACGCTGTGTGTTGATCATCAATCAGTAGGTCGGTCAATCAATCAATCAGTCAGGAAAAAACCATTTTGCTTACAACTAAAACTTACCGATTGCGTTCATGGGTATCCGTGTGCTCTGTTTTGGGACGTTTAACCTGCAAAATAAAGAAAATAAGGAAGCATTGAGAGAGGGGAAAACGCAAATAATTAAATAATATATAAGTATATACAAATGCAGAGGGATGTCTGTACTTAAGTATTATATAAAAGTCTAGAGCTTCTTGCTGTTGTTTATAAACAAAAACGTTGTCTTTGGCGTCGTCCCAACACCTCAGCATGTTCTGGCGCAGTCGCTGGGTTCCGCTGAGGTTGGCGTTTTTTTCGCCCGAAACTCTATTTGGCTTTAATGCGGCAACAAAAAAATAACAACCACAGAAATAATAAAAATAAAACAATAAAATAAATAAATGAATAAAACAGCACATTTTACATAATTTGCAAGGCAGCATTCGCATTGCCAGCAAATTTAACGTGCGTGGGAAAATTTTTACTGGGTTGATGGGTTGACAGGGCTCTTTCAATAGCGGCGCCATTGCCCAATTGGGGGCCATGTGACGAATGGCCAACAAATTGCCTCTGAGGGTGCGCACAGCAGGTGGCCCAAATCGTGGGGAGCTGGGCATCGAGGCATCGAGAAGCTAACGATAGAAGCGGCAGAAGTCAAGCCAAGTTGATGAAGGAAAATCCACTTAATTGAGACAGGTCCAAGATGGGTGCAGGAATAATATTAGGCCAGATGCTGATGCGAATTGACAAAACAAAGTCAGGCAAAAGTTGTATGGAACTGAACTTGGCAAAATATTTAAATAAAAGACGTAAACAGAGTTTAAAGGAAGGAGTCAAGGCAAACAAATCCATAGAACTAGAACTAGAAGTTAGTTGAGGGGAGGCAAGAGCTTTAATTGATATATACAAAATAAAGAAAGGAAAATTACAAAGAATAATTAGGTAGAAAATAGTTCATATAAGGCAAGAGCTTTTACTGACAACTACAAAGTAGAGCAAAGGAAAATCCAAAAGCTAAACTTCTCAACTCAATTAAAGTATTACAAAAATCAATTGAATAATAGCTTAAGCTGAACTTTCTCTTTTATTAAATAGAGCCTAAATACATATATTTACGACTTCCGCTTTCTGTGCTGAAAATGTAGAAAGTGAACCTTTCGGAGAAATTACAATTATTCAAACCCAACTAACGCTAATAATTCATTACCTTAGATAAGATAGGTAAATAATTTCTATGAAAAGAAAAAAATTGGTTAAATAAAAGAGCTTAAAACAGCAGCTAGAGACAGAACCAAGGCTTGATAAGGAAACTGCTAAGAAGGAAGAAGGAATTCAAAAAATAGAGAGAAGTCACTAAGAGAGAAAACCTTAAAAACAACAATTAAAACTAAACTAAAATTTAAAAAAAAAAAACCAAAATATAAAAACTTAAAGCTATAAGACTAGTTTCGTTAAGGGAGAAAAGCTTTTTGCGGCAATTACGACTAGAGAAAATATGGCACAGAAAAATCCCAAGCGTCTAAATGTTTTAAACAAATATCATGAAAAAACAAATAATCCTAGAAACATAGAAGCAGAAAATAAAAGCAAAAGGGCTTAAAGACGATGCAAAGGAAACGAGGAAAGCTTTTTAGCAAGAATTAAATCTAGGACTAGAGAAGAATTAAATCTATGCTACAAGGAAAAATGAAGAGAGAAGAGACACGGCAGAGAGCAAATCCCAGGAATTTCATAGGAAATCGCAGACACGAGCACTGCAATCGAATTGTTCCATCGAAGGAAGCTATTAAGGCAATAAAAAACGGAAGCCGGATGAGGGGCATCCTGGATTGGTGATTGGCAACCTACAGCAGGCAAAAAGGCTGCTGGAATTTTTCGTGAGCCGCTTCTCTTTTTCTTTTTGGTGAGCAGCACCCAGGGGCCACACACGCACGCAGTGTCCATCATATTTTTTAGGTTTGTTTACTTTTTTTTTCTTTGCTGTTTTCATGCCAAAATTTGTTTTCAACGGACTTTCAACGGTAGCGTTTAATGACGCGATGCTGCGGCACAGCTGCAGTTGGGCATATTTTTTGTTGTTTTGTGGGGGGCTTGCGTGTTGCACGATGCTGTTTGTTGTTGTTTGTTGGGGCAGCAACTGAAACCGAGACACGAATGCAAAACGAATGCAACGCAACCTTTTACTAAACTAATTTATGGCACAAGCTGACAACGTAAACATTAACACAGAGACAAGGAGGCGATGCTGGACAGCGCCTGCTCATCAGGGCACAGTGAGAGAGAGACAGAGAGACAGAGAGAGAGAGGGAGAGAGAGAGAGGGAGATACTGTATAAAGACCTGTTTTGAGCATCTTTAACGAAATTCCTGTGATCGTAATCTTTTGTCTCTCTGCTGCTTTAGAAGAAGATTAAAACAGACAAACCACACACACACACACACACAATCGCACACACACACACACACACACAGAGAGAGAAGACAGCGAAGACGGCGACAAATTTTTTATTAACTTGCCCGCCTGCTACGCTCGCTTGGACCACGGTCTGTGGCTGGACCCTACTAAGCCCCTAACCGATAAACATCGAAATAAACAACAAAAATTTGTAGCTCCCTCGCGTTGTTGTCATTTGTATTTGGTTATACCCTGCAATAATTGACAAGTTGTAAGAAAAGGGTAGCATGGTTTTCAGCAAGTGCTTGTAACAGGCAAAAGTGGACAACTCAGAGAACTCAAACACATGCAATAGGAAGAGCTACAAATTGTTTTCGATTACCAAATCGATAAATATCGATTTTGCAGCTCTGTTTTACATAGCTCCAGCTTTAAGACTATAAGAGCCGCAAACTTAACATATACTTATGTCAGTCAGATAGATAAACTAAATATATAAAAATAAATAAAATTAAAAATATTTTACTCTTTTGAGACCGTTCTTAAAACATAAGCCCCCCTTCCCCTCTCCCATTGCTGATTTTTGGTATATGCACATATTAGAATGCCATTTTTGATCCCTGAAAATGTCATTAAGATCACTCGATTAATCCACGAGTTATCTAAGAAAAGCATTTGTATATTGCGAACCTAAGCAAAAGTTGGGCACATCTGCTGCGTAGGGTAGCCGGTAGTCGGGCAGTCTCGTTTTACAGCGCCTCTGGCTTGTTTTTATTGTTGTTGTTATTGTTGTTATTGTTGCCTGTTGTCTTTTGTTGACTGGGGGCCACGACCTATGCGCCTTAACACTTTGGCACGTTAATTACGTGGGACAATCGACAATCGCCAAGTGTCAATCGCTGCGGCCATAATCAATATTTTGACTGCTTGCTCAGTGGCTCAGACGGATGGCACAAGCTGCTGGAATGGGCTAAGGGGTAAGGGGTAAGGGGTATGGGGGCAGGGTACGGCTACGGATCTTTCTTTCTTTCTTTCTTTAGCTGGTGGCACATAAATTACATGCAGCGCATTGTCGCAGTTGAATTATGGCGTGTTAATTTTTACGATTACGGCTTAAACTTAATTAAAATGTGATTAATGTCGCCAAACACGTTTGGCCTTTTTTGTGGGCCAGGCTCCTTAAATTGTCATAAACCTGGCCCAGTCTTTAGCAACAACATAAATAGGGACCAGTTCCACTGCCTTCACAGCATCAACTGGTCGATTGGTCGAGCTGTGCTCAACGGCCCTCAACTCCCTCAACGCCGTAATTTATGCTCTATTAATATTTCGCCTTAAAATCGTTTGCACACGCCGCTTGCCCCATGCCCCATGCCCCATGCCGCATTCATTGGCCGGCGGTTCGTGACGCTTCTGCAAAATTCTTAAGCCCAATGTTTCGCCTGCGTATGCCCGACTTTGTTTTAGCCAAGTGCAGAGTCCCCCATAAAAGTTGTCGCCTTTTGTAGTCTTTGGCTTCATTAAATCAGGCTACAAGTCGCATTATGAACAAGCTGCTGCAGCTTTAAGTGCAGTTTAATGGGCAGACTTGGACATTAACAATATCATAGAAGAGTCTGTCGATTAGATTTAAATAAGTTCTTGTAAGGTAATTTAACTTTTGGCACAATTTGATTAATTTACTCGAATTTTTAAATTCTGGAATTATAGATTATTTTTCTTTGATTTACATACTAATTTAAGCGGAAACATCTGGCCTCAGTCAAGAGAGTTGACTTGGAAAGATTTTATTGTTATTAAAAGGATGTAGCAAAGATATATATAAACTTTGCACTCACTTCTATGGCTTTACTTTAAGAGAATGCATACATTAGACTGAGGTTCGAGCTCAAACAGTTGCCTAAATGACTGAATTTCTGAGACAATCCATCTGTCGATGACATTTCGAGTATAACTGCCTATTAGGGTCTTCTTTTAGGAGTATACTACGGAGAAAACTTTCCTAACGGACACTCTTCCAACCATTATGAATCAGGCTATACTCATATTCCCTCTTTAAGGCGTACAATCGCCTTGTGCGGTCAAAAATACCACGATATTCTTCCTCCTCTCTAATAACTATGAATCAGGTTAAAAATTACCCGTTAGTCGCTGTCCTCCCAAGACAGTTTCCACTGTAAATTCACTAGCCGGAGTTTCGAAACCCGCAAATTTTTCTATTTAGATGTCAGCATAATCTATTTTCACAACTTTTAACTAGCATAGCTTATTATTAACTTCAGCTAAGACATTACATGGAATGTTTTAAGAAAGGAACATTCATCAAAAGGAAGAATTTAACATAAAGATTATTATATTAGTATGTAGAAAATAGTCTCCTTTATAAGCTAGGCTTTATAGTCCTGTTCAAAATTTGTTCTTACGCGAAAGTTCTTCAGCTGATATCATTTTACTTAAGTATCTTTTGGTTAGGCCCCTACTTTCAGAACATCCTCAACTAAACCAACTTTACAAAGGGTTTGTCAAACTGTCTCCAAATCTCGAGAAGCCACACAAACAAACCGCAACAACAACAGCAACAACAACGTTAACCGACGGCAAAGCCGCAGACACGGCAAAACTTGAAGATTTTTAGAGCTGAGTTTGTGTAGAAACTAACCGTGCGCCGCGTCACTTTTAAAGCTTCGCTTGGATT